CGACCCCCTCAGTACACAAGGCAACACAGGGAGCTCGGTTGAAACTCGGTGGAGCAGGTTGAAGTCATCGGTACAACAAGCTGCTCTACACGCGTTAGGCACTAGACCACGTCGTCTGAAGGACTGGATATCCAGTCACACCATCCATTCAGCTAATGCGGCCAGAGAAGCTCGTCTAGCTCAATCCTCTGCTTATCGCGATCTCAGGCGACAAGCAACACGATCAGCCAGAAATGACAGGTGCAACTACTGGAACGAAATGGCTACTAAAGTGGAGACAGCAGCCAACCTGGGTAACACGGCGACCCTTTTCCGTTTTATTCGATCAGCATCGAGCAAGAATCAGGTCACCCACTCTGTGCTGCGCAGCGCGTCCGGTGAGCTCATTTCGGACGCGCAGGGGAAAATGTCTCGGTGGGTGGAACACTTTGGTCTTCTTTTCAACCGCCGTCAAATCCAACTACCATGTGCGTCCATCTCGCCAGCTTCTCCGTACGAAGTTAACTGCGCTCCGCCATCAGTAAAAGAAATTTCAGATATCATCAGCCATCTCAAACCACGGTAATATCCCGGTGAGGACGGGATACCCTCCGAAATCTACGCGAAGTGTTCTTCAGCTACTCTAAAACCTCTTCATAGCTTGCTGTGTACAATCTGCGAAACCGAAATTTGCCCAACTGACTGGACCATATCGATTTTACTACCTTTCCCCAAAAAGGGTGACAAGTCAGTGTGCGAAAACTACCGAGGCATCAGCTTACTGGACGTGGCGGCCAAAGCTTTTGCACAACTCTTGCTAAATCGCTTTCCTGCAGCAAGGCATGCACGCACTCGTCCTAACCAGAAAGGATTCCGCCCCGGTGTAGGCTGCGTCGATCAAATATTAACTCAACGTCGACTCTTGGAGCATCGCCACAAGTTCAACCAACCTACAACAGTCTCCTTCATTGATTTTCGCGCGGAATTCGACTCCGTAGATCGCGAATCCCTCTGGAACATAGTTCTGGCCGATAGTGTCCCAGACAAACTTGTCAACTTAATGAGATTCTACTATTCTAACACCAGCGCCCGAAGCCGTGTCTACGGAGAGGAATCTCGCCCGTTCAGGTTAGAATCTGGAGCATGACAGGGGTGTCCGTTGTCCCCGGTGCTGTTCAACTTTGCCGTGGACTGGATAACGCGTGGTTCGATGGAAGGATACCAGAGAGTTCAGATATCTCCGAACTTGTGGCTCATCGACTTAGAATTCGCGGATGATATTGTCGTCTTCGGCGAGGATATGTCTCACCTCCAATTAATCGTTGACCGCATCAATCGACTGGCCTCCGAGATCGGCCTAGAGGTGAACACATCAAAAACCAAATACTTCACGACAGTCCCGATCCATCCCGAGAATGCTTCACTACTAAACAGTGAGCGGGATCGAATCCATCGAAGGCTTCAAATATTTGGGCTCAACCATTCTCCCCAACGGCCAAGCTAAAGATGAGGTGCAAAGGCGCGTCGATGCTGCAAGAAGGGCGTTTTTACAGTTGAAGAATTCCCTTTGGCGCAGAAACGAAATCAGCCTCAAGACAAAAATCCGAGTTTTCTCCGCAGCAGTCCGTCCTGTTTTGCTGTACGGCTGCGAAACCTG